TGGACGTGGATGCTTTAATTACTGTCAAGCAAAGTCACATTAATGTGATGCAACTATTCGATGAAACATCACGTTTATTCATTTTACGTATAAACTAGACGTGTTTACAGGTCTCCTCCTTTAACATTTGCAATTGCAAATGCTTTTAACTGTAGTGTTCAATTAAATAGCGACCCACAGCCGCTGTTACTTTCGCATAGAGTTCTGCGAGCTAATCATGAACAATAATAAGCTGTATTGTGCACGTGTGCATATCCGCGTAAACCCCGGCACGTTTTATTGAATCCTGAAATCTCTCTTTAGAACTCACGGCTAGTGTCGGCCAGCACTGCGGCGCGTGCGTGCGTGCGCGTGCATCCGGACGTACGTACATGCGTTTGTGCGTGCGCGTGCATCCGGACGTACGTACATGCGTTTGTGCGTACGTGCGTGCGCGCGTACGTGCGTGTGTGTGCGTGCGTGCGTGGATTCGTGTGTACTGTGTATGTGTGTGTGTGTTTGTGCGTGCGTGCGTGCTGTGTGTGTGCGTGCGTACTGTGTACGCAGCGATGCCGACGTCTACTGATTTCATCAGAAACCCATTCACACATTCTAGACTCAGCGCTCTGTGACTATTTCTGCAATATGAATGCTAAGTGAACGCATTGAAATGTGGTGAGGCGGATCGCCCCGCTGCTGCCTATACCGTCTTACTGTAATACGCAGCGTCGATGCTTCGAAATATCGGGAAACATTCTCCTTCTACCGAACACACGCAGCGCCGTCCATCAGCCAATTAGAGCCGGGATTTAAGTCACGTGCTCCTGATTTTTAAGGCTTCGGCGATTTTTGTACAGAATCGAACTTTTCAGTGCAATGGCATTTTATCAAGCGACGCTACGTCTTCTTAAGTGGCTGTTTTCGCTGCGGTGTCCTATAGGGCGTGGCATGGCTGCAGAAGAAGATTACTGTAATTCTATACGCATGGTGAGAGCCGGCCATGCACCTGTCTTGTATAATGCAAGTCTTTAGAGATAATGTGGCCACGCGTATAATGGGGAGCACTATAGTTGTATAATAACGTAAATATCGAATTATTTAACCTAGTATAGAACTTAGCGACACGGGTCGTTTAACGTTAGCAGATAGCGTCATAGCTATATTTTTAGTTAAACAGCTCAAGGTAACAACAAGCAAAGGTCATCACAAACTCCCCCCCCTCACCCCACCCCCGACGGCCCCGAGAGAAAGATGTAGACGGCGCAGCGGGATGCCTAGCCGAAGTCGCACCGATCGGTGTTACGACCCGCGCCCAGGGTTACGACTGCTACGAGTCTTATGACGATCATCAAGCCGCGCAAGCCGCGCGCGTGACACAACAAAAGAAGAGAAATATGCGACGACGAAAGAGCGAAAGTAATCACCTACGCAAGGCTGAAAGAAATGGAGTGACACAGCGGGACCTCTACTCAACACCGAGGTGTCGCACAAGTTTTACAACCCAACCAGGGTTAAGACTGTGCGATATCTTTACCATTGTCAAGCCGAGCACACCGCGTGCACGTGCATGGCATCAGCGGTATGGCACAAGGCGGCACTATGACATTTTAGTACCCATAGAAGGCTGCTCTTCGAGCGCTTCAAGATTCTTCTATCGATGCGTCCACCATATCTGCAAGGACTCCGTCTGCCGTTCTCACGCTCCTTCAGTTCTCCTTCAGCTCAGTTCAGCTTCCTTCAGTTCTCCGTTCTCACGCTCCTTCAGTTCTCCTTCAGTTGTCCATAAAATTCTGGAGAAGGACACAGTATTGCACCATCGCATGCAATAAGGCCTTGAGGACACTTGGGCTATGCATTCCTCCAGTTGCATAAATACCGAACAGTTTCGACAGAAAGGAAGACACAGTTCCCGGCGCTAACGCTGTCAGCACCGCACTGCTCTCACCTGCTGCTCGCTGCCACCGTTGCCGCCGGACGCCGCCGCTTGCTAACCCTTGTTGTTGCCCCGTTGTTGCCCCGTTGTTGCTTAACCTAACCTAACCCTAACCCTAACCCGGAGGACCTGCCTGCTGCTCTTAGGTCGTAAGATATGAACCATTTGTAACGCGTATTTGATTATTGGCCTGCGTATAGCCGCCTATGTATTGTATGTAATTGTCACTACGATGTTCATTATAAAGAATAGAGAACCGTAGTAATTCTGTGGTTATAGCATTATACTGTCTGTGGCTTAAGTGCAATAGCACACGTATCTGTTGTACAAACGAACCTGCTCACACTACACGATCACACGTGCCTGTTATACGTAACACATGCACGGTCTTCTCTATATAGTAGGGCCTACTAAATACTCACAAGCGTTGAGCTGCAAGCTTTCCTAAGAAATCCATACGAGATGTCCATTTATTGGAGAAGAATTATTTACATTATCAAATAATAATAATAAGAATAATATAAATAATAATAATAATTAATTATTCACCACAGACACACGACAATGTCTTTTTGCCGAAACATCATTCTCTTTACTGCACTGAGCTACAAATACCTGCGCGCAGGTCGCCATGCACATTGACAAAATTGACTGCTATGCTCTCACTAGAACCAACATCGGGAAAAATATTTCCAGCGTTCGTGTGCCACCTGTAGTCACGCCTGTAGCTGCGGCCCTCCCTAGCTCCCGTAGCTACTAAACGCATTTAAATTGACTACGTCACGGATTTTCTATGGTAAAACTTGTTAAAAAAAAATTCCATTTTTTTACATTAAAAGTAAGAACTAACGGGACTAAACGTATCGTCAAATTCTTACCTGATAAGATTGTTTCTCGACTAGTTAAAAAATTCAAAAAAAGGGAAGCAGAATTACTTATATTTGTGAAAAAGTAGAAATATATTTATTTATTTTTTACTATTACGGTGACGTAATCACTTTAAGGCTATATATATATTTACGAGAATTATCTAGTGTTCCCCACTTGTATGACCGATTAATTACCTACCGTTATTGCTTGAGTAACAGCAACTGTCTAGGGTAACTGATAAAATGCATTAGAACTTTCGTATTCACCAAAACATGGAAGTTCGATTATGATGTATCGACTCATGCGACCTTTTCTTGTAATCTT